TAACATAATAATATGATAATACTAATTAGGGTAGGCTTTGTTACGCCATTTTAATAAAAAATGCAAATGCGGGGTCGCTGAATACCATGAAAACGGCAAACTACTACTCAAAGATGGCTGTCAACAAACTTTTCTAAAACGATTTGAAAAATTCAAAACCACATTTCTTCCCTTTGGAGATAAAATGTAATGAATTAGATTAATATAACAAGCAAAAGAATTTGACTATACATGGAGTAGGGAAAATGAGGCCAAAATGTTAATAAGACAGCCTTTAATATTCGGTCTGATGGCAATGCAGCCCAGTATACAGGCTGCTCGACAGCCATAATACGCCAAAATGTCACTCGCAGATGGTTGAATACTGATTGAGAGGAGAAGTATAATTGTTAGAAGAGCACGAAGTACGGCCATTTCGAAAATTTAAGCAGACGTAAGATGAAAAATTGTTTGTTCGACTCCGACCTATAGAAAATATCAAGGGGGAAAAAGCACCACTTTACCACTTCATTTCACTTCACTTCACCTAGGTAAAACGCTGCTGAAACGGTCGAAACAATAAAAAATCACTTCAAGTTCACTTCAAGTTAAGCGGAAGTGGTAAAATGGTACTTTTCCTCCCTTGCTTCCCTCCCCCCCTCAGGGGCGCCGTTTCAGCAGTGAAGTGAAGTGAAGTGAAATGAAGTGTTGAAGTGGTGCTTTTACCCCCTTGGAAAATATCCATTATTATATAGGTAAAAGAACGAAAGTTTATTTATGGGTTTATTTCTCTTTTTGCATAGGAGAAAATTTTTTTCTGATTTTTCTGATACTTTCCAACTCTTTTTTCTATGTTGAAATTTCGATTCATGAGTTTAATCATCAATTTCTGACTCATCTGTCAACAGAGGCGGCCGAGCGTTTTTATTTCGAGCTAAAAAACAGAAAAAGTCGGTTTGCAAAAATGCATTTCAAATTGATCCATTTTCACATATTTTACCATCTTAGTTCAAATACCAAAGGGTGCCAAAGCATTTTAAAGTTCTTTTTAACCTTTTGGTAAACTTTTGTATGCATCTTTTCCTTAGCTTCTGTACGTATAATAAATTCTACACGTAAATAAATTACAAAATTAAATTGAAAATTTACTTTAACTAAACGATCAAAGTGTATGATTAATCGAGATAGATGGTCCTTTGTCACAGTAGACTGGTCAGCAAAGATTCTCTCTAATACTTCGGGTTTAAGCTACTTTGGTATTTTTATCAGATTTTCGCCAATTTGTTCAAAATACGTTTGTTGCTCAATAGTATTCGAAAAAATATCTTCATCATAATCATTTACGGTCGGTAGTTGATTATGCTTTACTGTAGTATGTGGACGAGGTATATATGAAAAACTGTTTGTTCGACTACGACCTTTAGAAAATATCCATTATTATACAGCCAAAAGAACGGAAGTTTACTTCTAGGTTTATTCCTCTTTTTGTATAGGAAAAAATTTTTTTCTGATACTTTCCAACTCTTTTTTTCTATGTTGAAATTTCGATTCATGAGTTTAATCATCTACGGTCTGTTTTGGGTCAGTTTTCCTTATAGTCAAGAATAATGGTATCGTGGACTCTTCGTAAAATATGTTTTTAAAATTTCAAACATACTTTTTCTTATGCAACTCGATCAGCTCTATCCAACCATCACGAAAAGATTTTTAAAAATTCTTCTAAAATTTTCACTTGTGGACACATTACATATGCCGGAAATACCTTAAAATTCGAGTATTTCCCTCTAGTCAAGCCAATGGTCGCTAATATTTTAACCTTGTTAGTTTGGCGATGAGAGCTTTCTTTTCATGCAAAAATATCTGGTCTTTTCAACTTACAACACAAACACCTCCATTGTTAGACCAAACGTCATGTGAATCATTTGGAGCAAGAATTATTGTATACACGAATTTGGACGGGCAAACTTAACTTTCGATTTCAGAACAGCATAATCAGAGAAGCCCAAGTTCTACATTGATTTTCTCCAGTAAAATCACTAGAATTAAATTTCAAGAATAGTGCACTTGTTAGATTACTTTAAGTTTACTTGAAAGGTTTTTTTAAAGAATTTGTGCTACGCTTTCTTTAGTCTGGCTTTTTCAGCCGATTTAAGGATAAAAGGATATTTTTAGCTGCTGAACATTCATCCGTATGACAGAATGAAGCGATGAATTATGTTAATTTATGCACATCCAATTCAAAAGAAGCAACGAATGACATGTCTGAAGCGTATAAAATTAGATCTGATCTTTCGGTCCAAGACCTTTAAAACAGAAGAAAACATAGACCATCGATTTCGCTTAATCTCGTTGTCATATTTATTTCTTCGAAAGAATGCAAAGGTCTTGATTTTATAAGAAATAATTCATTTTAGGCTATTTGCACCTAAAATTAAAAAGTTCATATCTCCGTCAAAATTGATCGAATTTATAAGGGTTCGATATCGAAACTTCAGAAGATATCTCATTTCGGCTATTTTACGTATAATTTAATATGAAAAATACAAACAGTTCAAAGAAAAGATTTTGATTTTTCAACCGAATTTTGACCGTGAAAGAAAGAATGCTTGCAGAAAATAATCCTAATGCCACTCTGATCTGCTTCTAATAGAAAATAGTCATTTTTAAAAGATTAAGGATTTCTGACTTAGCTGCCCAAATCCTTACAAATACAAAAACTGATGAATGAGTTCAATATTTCGAGAATCGTTGTACATGGACATATTTTTTACAGGATTCACGGCTCATTTAGAAGCACAGAAAATTCTCTATCTTTCTGTGTCACTTTTGTTTTCAATTTAACTTGCTGTGCGCCATAGATATTGTTTTTTTGGATGGGCAATATATTGATACTCACCTGGTTACGATCGTTTCTCATAAGTACAACTTCTGCGTGATGGATCTCCAACACTCGTATAAATGCTGGGAAATTACCATGTTCAGCGTAGGTAAAAATGGAACTAGAGAACAAGAAGAGAAAAATATTAATCTGTTTTTTATTATCAAAAACAGATTTTACTCACTTTTTATCGTGTGACGGTAGTAAAATAGAACCAGTAATACTTTTATCGTATCGTAGTTCAATGCTATTTTCGTCAATTTCAATACTACTTTTAGGCAGAGTATCTGGTACTATGCCTGGAAAATGTTGAATATGATCTTCTGCCACAAAGGTAATAGTTGGTTCAGAAACCTGGACGCCGTCATTTTCTTCTTTCGTTTCGATAACTTCGCCACTCTTAGCATCAGTTTTTGTTTGATTAGTGCTCGTAACTAACTGCACTTCCCTTTCATTCAGCTCATCTTTCATCGACGAGCTTGCTGGTGCCGGGCTCTGAGGGATCGGTTCAGTTCTAGTATGGCATCCATCCGTTTCCAAGTTTAAAGATATGACCTGAATATAACAATTGCAGTAAAAGAATTTGTGTTTTAAATCGGGATGGCTATTGCCACCTTCAGAAAGTGTCACTGGCGGTTATTGCCACCTCCAGAGGGTGTTAATAATGGCTATTGCCAACTTCTAGTTTACTATTATGTCCGAAGGTATCAATAATAGCTATTGCCATCTTCGGGCATAGTAGTTAGCTAGAAGGTGCCAATAGCCATTATTAACACCTTCTGGAGGTGGCAATAACCGTCAGTGGCACCTACCGAAGATGGCAATAGCTCCTTGGTGACACCTCTAGAGGTGGCAATAGCGCTACCCTAAAAAACTTCAGTCTAATACAAAATTAATTATCCTTCAAAAACTACCGTCGCCAGTACAAGTCGAGTTTAACTTGAAGGATAAGATAGAAAAATATATACAATCCGATATTATGTACGATATTCCATGTGCTATGATGCTCGAGATATTGGCCAGACAATGCGGTAGGCATGTCAACGATTCGTTGAACGTGGCCATATATTGTTTCTTTCGAACAAACTTCTTTCGAAAGATTGAAATATCAGTAGTATTTTCCTTTTCATGATATATGAGTATACTTTAGATGAACATTAAATTTTATTTGGAAAAATTTTCAGGCAAATTTGATTCCCGAGAGGAGGTATTCGGTTACCATTTTTGGATCTGCTTGTAACGACTAAATTGGAATTGTCAGTAATCTCGAATTTTTAATGAGAATGAGTTTTAGTTACAAAAAGATTTTTGGAGACACATCAATAGTAAATAATATTTGTATAATATCACTTTCTGTTTTTCAATGAATGTACATCTCCTGGGTGACCACTATCATCATACCACCCCTTAAATCACTTTGATGTAAACAGAAGGGTTCAGAATAGAATAGCATGTTTTCTACTATGATTGCGCAGATCAAACAGTTTTTTCGAAAAAATCATGCTTTGGAGCGAAATGCACAATCGTTCTATAGAGATAGATTAACGAATGTGCAAAAATTTCACTTTCAACCGGCCTTCTAATACGAGATGACCCACTACTAATCTGGGAAGTTTATAAAAGTTTTTGAAAAGTACTACTGTTCAAATTGATCTGATATATTATAGCATACGGGGACCAAACGACGAAACCTTTTAGAATTTTGTTACTTAAAATAGTTTGTTAGTGTCGAAACATACCTGCATTATTATGTTATGATGTACGAGGCACGAAAAGAAAAGAAAAAAGGTAAAAGAAAAGAAAAAAGAAACAGTCGGGACTCTACCCATGTCAGCTGTGCAGTTTTATTAAAACTGAATCAGAGTCTGAGTCAGTCCAGAACAAAATCGAAATAACTTTTAACAAAGATGTTTTCTTTTCTTTTTCGACTCTTACTAGCTCAGAACTGAATATCCTTGGTAACCCTTTGGTTACGCGGCCCGTAGATATACGTGTTAAGCTTTTGCTCAGATTACAGCTGTTATAGTCTTCTCTCTTAATCAGACCATAAGAGTGCTCTCTACTTGTTAGGAAGTGAGTCATATCATCATCTTCCCATACGCTTTTCTTTTTCATTCTTCGTTTTTAGTTATGTAACTATTTCTTTCAATACAGATCGGCCCGTTTATTGACAAGACAATAGTTATTTTTCGAGAATTGTCTGATTCATTTGCACAACTCGTTCCAATAAATTATCTATATTACTCATAGTATGCAAGAAACTGCTCGTTGCTACCAAATGTTATTTTATGATTTTAACGTAGGAGTTATTTAAAAGTGAATAAAATAAAATATGCAGTGAACTTGAATCCTGATCGAGATCTTCAAACAAAAAGAAACCGCTTCTTTCAAATTTCTCTCCCAACAAGTTTTTTTCTATTGTCTGTTACCATTTTCCCGTTGTCTCAATCTCGCGCGCGAGGATAAACAGAAGTTAAACTGTTTTATGACATTTGGAAAGTTATGTCTAGATTAATTTTTGTATTGGACCTATTAGATCGAAGCCCACCTTACTGTTTGCCTGTCTTAATAAACTGGCAGTTAAAAAGACGATTTTTTTAGAAATTCTTGTGAATTTCAGATTTGACAAATTTCTTATATGGGATTCAACAGCTCATTTATTTTTTTCAAAAAGTCAGACTATTGCCGTCTTTGACTGATACTAGATAAAGCGTTTATAGGAATTTCAAAATAGGTTGGATTTTTTCAAAATTCAGCCTGACCCTTTCAAGGATTTTTAAAATATCGCTTTCTTAAAATGTGAGATTTTTAGCAATATTAAATATCACAACATATTCTCACTTTCACTAGTACCACGTTTACAAAGTAAATGCGATTCTTTTTTTTCCATTCTGTTCGACACAACAGTCTAGGATCAAATAAGAAAAAAAGAAAAACATTTGTTAAAAATCTACCTCTACTTTAATCATAACAGACTTCCATCGTCAGTCTACGAAATAAGCCAATTCTTTTCTGATTCATCTTATACTAACATGCTACTCATCAGTTTTACTAGAATTGTTTTATTCCTCCGTATCCTATACTGCAAAGAAAATTAAAGGAGAAAGGATTTGTTCCATATTTTCTTATTTGACTCTAGAAGGCCGTATCGAACAGAATAGAAAAAAAATTGCGTTTATTCTGTAAAAATGGTGTAGCTTTCCAGTAAAAGACTCTGTGCATTCGGTACTGTGCGCAGCGCGCACTTTCCGATGTCTATTTTCACTCACAAGTTAGTATTCAGAGAAGGAAAATAGTTTATGCTTGATATCAGTTTGGTCAGATCCACGACTGGACAGAGACTGAACAATTAAATAAGTCTGCGCATAAAGTCAAATTAAAACTGAGATTTTTCATTTCCTTTATACTGGTTTCTAAACATGTATTCATCGATAATGATATGAACTAACGAAAGAACCTATTCAAGTGATCTATTTCAATTCGGTTGATATTCAGAGATAAGTTAGGGTCTACTATAGTAAGAAAAGGCCTAGGAGAACTGTTCTCAATGTTGCTTGTTATGGACTAATTAGGAAGGTTTTCTTGATGAATCTGTAGTACAAGCTTTTCATTTCTCCGCAACTCAATGGTTCTAGAGCTTGAATCTTCATCTGCTGTACTGTTGGTTATACCCTAATCATTCCCAAAATTTCAAGTCTCTATCTCATATAGATCGATGAGCTATGATAGCAGAGTATGTTGTGGAATCGTCCAGCATTTTCAATGGATTTTGAGTAAGTTACAAAGTTTCATTTTTGACCGAAAACAGCCTAAAATAATACATTTTCATGTAAAGTAGGTTTTCACTAGGTTATTTTTTAAGGGTCCCCTCCCCCCCTCAGAAATGGTGATTTTCGGTCAAAAAATCGGTTTTGAGATACATACATGGAAAGATAGCCTGAAGTGTCTACTTCCAGAATCTGTATTGCTTTTGGTTACAAAACTGATTTTTCGGGGATTTTGAGCAAGTTTTCCAAGAGCCTCGAAAAAATGGGTCTTTAAATAATGGT